CCTGTAAGTAGCGCTATTTCCTGTTCAATGCGAGCTGCCTCTGACGCTGCTGTGGAAGCCATGGAAGAAGGAGGAAAAGCTTCAAACTGGTCAAACTCGAAGGAGATCACAAAGTGACAAACAAATTGACATCGCTGACTGAACCCAAAACAGGTAACTGTGGCGCACGATTTACGAATTTGAACCTCCCTTCGATCGCACATTTATCAATAGTAAAATTCCATATCACAACTATAGACGGATATGTAGGAAGAATTTTAATGTGTGAATTTCTTCTATGCTGTCGATTTACTGACGAGCCAGAGCCGACCACAGACTATGTCCTTTCATTAATCTGTCGGTTCGTTCTCGAGGATAAATTGTGGAACGACTCAAAACAAAGCCGCGAAGCACATATTAGCAGGCATTTTTAAGAGTGATCTATATAATATACCTCTATGGCTTTGATTGCTGGTTGAAGAGGCGACAAATACCTACCAGGATTCGGAACGGGGTCCATATAGTAATTGTCATAGGTTTGCGGCCAACGAAGCTCATGCGGAAAGCGCAAATTATTCGAATCATCGGTACTCAATTGAAATATATGGTCTCACCACAAAGCAGCCCAGAGTGACCCTGCTGGAGATTTCGGGCACGTGCTCTGAATTTGACTTTGATTTTGAAAGATAAATAAGCACAAACACAACGACATGACAGATGAACTCCATCCTCTCACCACATCTTTCCAGAATGTCCACGTCGATCATGAATGCTTCTCAACTTCCGCTCAAATCTGATAATGATCTAATCCAAGCCGTCTATGCTACATATGATGCTCACGGCGCAGCCGGTGCTCCGTTAGCTTGTGGGTCACCACCTTGAACATCTCCCCTCGTCCTGATCACCCAACAAATTGAAGATTCTGAACGTGTCGCCAAAGCTTTTGGATATACCCCTGAGCAGCTGAAGAATATACCTTCTGAAGCAAACATGGGCCTCAGCTGTGGCAATCCTGTCGCCGCTGCGTCCATCAAAGAGGTATGGTACTAGTAGGACACTCAGAGGCATTTCCGTCACTGATATGTTATTTTAGGGGGAGTGTGTTCTTGATTTGGGAAGCGGTGGTGGGATCGACATCTTCCTCGCCGCGTCAAAGGTTGGGCCAAAAGGGCAAGCTATTGGCTTGGATATGTCCGAGGTAAGGTTATTCGTCACAAGTCAGAAACATTGATTCAGTCATAATTATTCAACAGAACATGATAAAAAAAGCACGAAAGAATGCCAGGCAGCAGATGCTATATCCACCGCAAGTTGCCTTTGTACATGCCAAACTTACGGATCCCCTGCCCATCGCATCAGATTCGATAGATTGTGTCCTCAGTAACTGTGTCATCAACCTCCTACCTCCTGCAGGAAAGGCACATCTGATGCAAGAAGTGAATAGAGTCTTGAAACCGGGGGGTCGTTTCGTCTTGGATGATGTTAGTGGCCATCCTATTATACCATCTTGCTATATATTAACATGGTGCGGAAGATAGATCCTTGCGAAGTCGCCACTCCCTGAGCATATAAAGAGCGATATGGCCTCATACGTTGCCTGTATTTCCGGCGCGATGACGGTACAAGAATACGAAGAGTTTTTTTCTGGCGCGGGTTTTCAAGGTCGGTTTCGTGACGAGAATGTCCGGCCCTGTGTTTAATTCTTCTCAGACGCCATCTTCGTGGATACTAAAGGTGACATCAATATTTATTATCAATCTGATGCCGCAGACAAGGCCTGCTGTGGATCTGCCGGTCCTCGTAAGCCCACCCAGGATTTTGATGCCAATCAATGGGTCGGCAAGTTCTGTTGCACTGTCTAATGCATTCGCCTGCTGAGATGGCTCCCTATAGCTTCTTACCAAATTTACGCCTTGAAATCGGACCTGAAGTCCGACCACTCCCAGATGTCGCAATCCCCACTCCTGAATTGGTGGGACGCGTATCCAGCTGTTCAGTCAAAGGACCTACCAAGGATGACTGCCGAGGACCTCGCAGTGCTAATTCAAGACCCTACGCAGACGAGCTATGCAGTCATTGATGTGCGCAGGAATGACCATGCAGTCAGTAGGCACTCTCGGAGCTGATTCCAGGCCGATATACTAACCTAATCCAACTCCAGGGAGGCCATGTCCGGGGGAGTTCGCAGTGGCCCGCCCAGACATTCTATGATGATCTAGAAAAATTCTTTGAGAGGTACAAAGAGACGGAAAAAGTGATATTTTACTGTGGAAGTTCAAATGGTAGAGGGCCTCGCTGTGCGGGATGGTAAGCAGAATTCTTTGGATAATTGAAGCTGCATGCCGCCGCGAGGGGTTCCTGACAGTGATATGAACCCAGGTATCAAGATTATTTGAGCGAAGTCGGCAGCAAAGAATCCAAGGCATACGTCCTGCAAGGAGGGATCAAGGAATGGCTGCAAAGATTTGGTGATGAAGAGGCGTTGGTTGACAGTGATTGAACCGCAGTATATATACTAGCTCATTGACAGACCTCTAAATCTCGTTGGCTTTCTAACCAGCCGTGTGTGCAGTTCGGGCCATTTTGCGATAGCGCCAAAATTGATGACCTGCGAAATAATTCATCATGAAAAGATATAGTGGCAGGAACCTAGCCTTTGAAGTGAGGAGTGTCTTGTGGATGTTTGAGGCTCTGGTCCTGCTCTGCCCTCATGTTGGTTCAAGGGCAACTGAGGAACGCTCGGCACCTGACGCGCCCTATGCTTTGACTCTGATCACTCGGCCTGAACCCTTTCTCACCACTGTGCATCGCTATGGTTTATCACAATCTTAAAGGTATGTCAAGCCCAGAGCATCCAATTAAAATATACTTACGCAAGGTTGTAGCTCTTATCAAGGGCATCCGAGCATGCAAGGTCAGACTCCGTCGCCTGAATGCATGATGCACCACGGGCACCTCTAATTGACTCCCTCGTCATCCTCAACATTTGATAGACCGTTGCAGATGAGCGTGCTCTCATTCAGCAAGAGTCGGCAGCCATTCGAGCCTCTTTCCGCGAAGAAGACTCGTTCGCTCGACACAACAATATCGCGAAGCTCCTGTACATCCACATGCTCGGGTCGCCTGCACATTTCGGCCAGATTGAATGTTTAAAACTCGTTGCCAGTCCTCGCTTCTCTGATAAGCGCTTAGGATACCTGGGGATCATGCTATTGCTAGACGAAAACC